GTGGGGAAGTCGCGTCTATGAAGCGGCGCGGTTTCGGCTGTGCTGCGCCCAGAATTGCCCGTATGGCAGCATTGTTGCAGCGCCTCGTTTGCTTTGCGCCGTGCCATGCATGCGAACCCCCTAATCGATAAACGTCCTGGCACTGCGCTAGCACGACGCTGGAACGGCTCTGGCACGCTGCTGGCACGGTCAGTTCTGGACTCAGACTTCGAATTGCTGCTCTTGCAGGCGATTGCAACTGCCCGTGCCTTGCAATGCTGTACTTCATGTACAGATAAATTCAGAAAATCAACAGTTTTCTAATTCAGATTTGGCTTTGTGCCAAATGGTGGCCGAGTTTACTATTTGCAAAGATCACAACCGCCATTATTGGCTGGAATGGTTTACGAATACTACGAAGTAACCAAAGATAAAGACTTCATCACTAAAATGATACCGATTTTGGAAAAGGAACTGAACTTTTGGAATACTAATCGAATGGTCAGAAAAATTTTAGGCCTTGATTCTTTATCAGAGACTCTAATTTAGACCACAGTGGAAATAAATGGAGAGACTCATGCTGTCTATCAATACAATAGCAGAAGCAACATGCCCAGGCCGGAAGCTTATACGCAAGATTTGAAAAAAGCTTTGAAAGTACACTACAAGGCCGAATATTGGCAGGTAAAAGGTTTTAGAGTTGTGTAGGATATGTAGCTTGATTGCAAAAATATTTTTCACTTTTCTGAGGATCTTTACCAAATTTCAACTCCAGTAAAATGCCTTTCAGGGTCTTGCTAGCGCAGCTGAATCGGGGTGGGATTTTTCTACGAGGTGGTTTAGCGATCGCAAGTTAATCTACGCTGTTGAAACAAAAAATGTAAGTAATCCTAGACTTTCGATGTCAGTTTTAATCTTGAAGAGTTCATTGCTTGCTCTTTACATCTACCCATTCACTCCTCCCTTATTCACTCCCCCTTTTTTTGAAAAACTGTAGAGAACTTTCCTGGAAATGGCTTCTGAGGTAATAGAAGCGGTCGTGATCGTTTGATATATCAAAGCAATGAATACTTTCAAGAATTTAGAAGGATTTGAGCCAAAAAATTAAGGCGTTTACTGAAAAGATTTTTTTCAAGTTCAACAAAATTTCGCAAGTCAGTTAGGTATCTGATCGCGCCGCATGCACCGGCTGCAGATGTGCATTGTTTGCGTCGCCAACTTACCAACAATATTGACAAATGGTTAAATTTTAGGTTCTTCCGGTGGACCTGAACGCATTTATGTGCTGGAATTTTGATATTTTGACCTATCTGTACGAGAGAATAGGTAGGCCAAAGACTTTCATTCATATAAACTTTTACTCAGCCTACTCGTATGATTTCAGATGATCCAGTGAAATCCGAATTCTATCGCGAACGACGGGCTAAGTTCCGGAAAACTGTACACAAGGTCTTTTACAACCAAACCGCTGGTTCTTGGTAATTCTCGAAATCGTTACAACATTGATTCATATCGATGCTATTTTCCAGGTTCGATTTCAACACGCGAACAGGTTTACATAATCAAGCATTTTATCCATCTATCGCCGTGCCACTATTCACTGGATGTTACAACACCCTGAATCAGGGCAAGTCCGAAAGATTGTTTACGTTGATGAAGGTAGAGTCTTTGTGCAGTTTTCTTTGTAGGACCAATTTTTGTACGTTTCCAGCACATCGGAGTCTTCGAATATCCTGGTGGCATTCCGACATCGATGGTTACTAGCAGCGAAGAGCAATGGGATTTTCCCAATGGATTCAGTCCAATGAATCATATGATTGTTGAGGGACTCAGAAAAAGCCACAATGCTCAAATGCAGGATGAAGTTAGTGACTCTATCTTTTTGTAAACTGAGTATGATTTTCTTCAGCGGGTAGTTGTGATAGATCAAAATTACAGTTTGCAAAAAGGTGATCGCAGAATTATTAGTTTTAGGCTGAATAAGTGTAACAAATTTTTCAACCTCTAATTTTGGCTCGAAAAATGGGCAG